GCAGAGCGTTCCAGACGGCCGCAGAAGCGCATCCAAAAGTGCCGCGCGATGCAGTGACCGTCTTTGTTCGATTGTTAGCCAAAAGCTGCTGCGAGGATGATCGGAGTTCGCGTGATGGTTTATGCTGCTTGAAGAGATCAGCGAGGTATTGTGGTTAATTTGTGGCGACCTCACAATGTGTTTGTTCGGCAACAGGAAGCCAATGGAGCTCGGCGAGCACCGGGCGGACATTGTGAGGTGTGCTCATTTTTAATCTGTGAGAGAGAGAGAGAGAGGAGTTGGGATCCATTTTCTCTCCCATGCAAATTCCTCAATACTTTTCATAGGACAACAATGCGGATTGCTTTTAAACGTTGCTTTAACGACGACGGCGGATATAAGGACAGGAACTCGATCCGGAATACAATGACTCTTAAAGAGTTTTGGAATTTTGATTTAAAGCTTTCGTGAATGCAGGGATTCATATTCTTGGTTCTTTCGGTAAAGTCACCTAGGAGGGAAACAATAAAATAATAAGAATAGAAAACAATAAAATTATCACGACGTTTCGACTGCAACACAAGCAATCATCATCAGGTGTGAAACCCACAGCAAGAAAATTTGAAAAAAGTGGCAGGTTTTTTTAACGTTAGCACCACGGAGAGCGATTTGACAGTTTGTTCAGATGTGATTCCGGACATACAGTACCCTGGCGTCTACAAACTAAGTTGCCTCTGTGGTAGTAGTTACACAAAGCAGACCTGAAACACGGTAGGACCAACACCTCGGCCGTGGCAGATCATTGTTATAATTCAGTAGGCTCACATGACATTGACTTCTCCAAGACAGAGGTTCTTTGCAAGCCATCTGGCTACCATGAGAGATTCGTTGATGAGGCTATCCACATATAGAAACACAGAGACAATTTCAACCGAGAAGATGGATTCTGGCTTAGCAATCATTGGAAGGATTTGATAAACCATTTCGGGTCTTAATTGATTGATCACGCTTAAGGTGGCTTTCAGACCGCATCCATTATTTTTCGTCTCCCCCCTCCTCTTTTCCGAACATAGATGGACTCGTCCATCTCAACAAACTGTCAAATCGCTCTCCGTGGTGCTAACGTTAAAAACCACCACTTTTTTCAAATTTTCTTGCTGTGGTTTTCACACCTGATGATGATTGCTTGTGTTGCAGTCGAAGCGTCGTGATAATTTTATTGTTTTATATGTTTATTATTTTATTGTTTCCCTTCTACGTGACTTTACCGAAAGAACCAATAATAAGTTTTGGAATGTATTATCTATGCCTTGATTTGTTACGCATAGTGTGTCAGACATGGTCGCATCTTGCAGTACCCGTCAGAACAGGTGCCAAAGAATATTGTACACGCTGCAGCTTGCTGAGTACAGCATTCAAGCAAATGGAATTCAGGAATAAACAGAACTGGGGGCCAAAATTCGGACTATGGTCAATCAATTATTTTTTAAACTGGGTTTTATGGTCAAATTTTTTAATTAATATATATTTTTTTAATTAAAAAAATGTGTTGTGCATCGTTTTGCCATGCAGTCTTCATTGGCCTGTTTGGGGCAGGGTCCAAAAAAAAATTGGGTGTTGGGGGGCGATGAGGAAGAAAAATCTTTGGGGTTGACGAATCTCTGGGGACTTAATGCGAACGGAGAGCGAAAATAAGCATTGAAGCGTGCACGTGAGAGGTGGAGTAACATTGAATGAGTCACTGGAGCGCGTGCCGCTGGGAGATTGGTAGACAATAGAATGAGGGGTAACAGCAGCCCCGTTCTACCAGTTGCACCTGTGGGCCAGGCACGGAGTCCTCTGGGGGATCCAGAGGGCTGCGGGGCCGAGGGCGAAGCCTGGCCACGCTGGGCAGGACATAAGGCGAGCTCAGACTCAGTCGGAACTCGCGCCTGCGATCTGGAATGCAATTCGTCGTACCGTCGTCGTCGTCGTGATCGGCACTCTCTTCAAGCTGTGGGTCTGGGAGCATGTTGGCTGTCCCGACTCGGTTTGTGGTTATCCCCTAAGGCTGTGAAGGCCGTTATAAAAGAGAGTACCTCCTACTCGTGTCTGTGAATTGGTACACTACAGAGGTCATAAAATATTGTAAAAAAAAATTGCACTGATCACATTTAGCAATTTTCCCACAGAGCGGCAGCCCACCAGGGCGTTTTCCCTGTGGCCTGTCCCGGCCTTCCGTGAGACTCTCGTGGGCCTCCGTTACACAAAGGCAGAGCGAATGGTGTGAGTGTAACCGTTACAGCTTCAGCTGGACCATTCAGCTGCAGTAGGCGTTGAGTTGTAATATATTTTTTAAAGATAGTCGGATTATTACACAACTCTTTGTTGCATTTGGCGTTGCACAAGTTACGTCTGCACGCGTGTCAGACGCCCGTTTGTGTTTTTTTTGCGTGGCTTTTTAGGTTATGTAATTTCGCGATTTGCAGTAACCAAAGGACACGGTTAACATTTAAACTTAAGTCCTCTCCACAATGTTGATTTTCTCCACGGGACTGGCTGGTGCCGTGATCATTTGGCCTCGTCTGGCAATGGCGCCCAGCATCTATTCAACGCCTCCTGCGTGGGTTCCTCGGAATATTTATTTTATTGTGAAGGAGGAATCCGATGAGCAATCAAGCTCTTTTTCACAGATGTTCCTGTAGGCCTCTGGCGAGCCCCCCGCGAGTCTTCTGCCCCCCCCATCCCCCGCCGCCCCCTGCTGTGCGCTATGGTTGCTCTACTGCCAATGAGATCGTTCTTTTAATTGGTGACTTTTGTTATAACGCGAGGACGGGAATGCTATGGAGAGACACGCGCACCACCACCACGTCTCACCACACCAGACACGCGCACCACCACCGCTCACCCCGAGCCCTCAATACTCTGATAGTGCGCTGTTTTTGAGTTGTACGCCTTTTGGCGTCTTCTGGTGCAACACCAATGGAGACTAGGCTCTAAGAAAAGCCGTCTCTGGTGTGGACCAATCAAATTCAAGGACAGTGCATATTATTATCAGAGTTGTCTTTTTTTGTTTGCATTTTGACTGCTTGTGTTGTGGTTATTGCAAACATGATGCCTTGAATAAAGGTGTCAGTTTTTGTGCCAGTTAAAAGGGTAAAACCTATTACTATGTCCATCATTCCCGTGTAGCCCCCACCCCCAGGCTATGCAATGCTCTTCCACGCGATATCAGGATCTTTCAGAGTATGAGGAATTTTTTAAAAATGCGTCTTAAAACCTGTTTATATACGCTTCCGCTCATTAAACTTTTAGTTAATTTAGAAAATTGATAATGAAAAAATGCATTATATAATTACATGCTGAGTGTCTCCTGCTGCTGTGTCCTGTAGAGCGCTTTGAGATTCTTGATGAAAATTGCTATATACATGGAATTATTCACATTTTTATCTTCTCGTGCGGTGCGGAAATTCAAGTGGAGAGATCATTTTTGTTTTGCGTTGATGTTATTGTTGCGCGTTATAACCATATTTTGTATTGCGGCAAACATTTTTCGATCTTTACAACCAATTAAAATATTGAGCAAACGATCTGGTGCTGATGCTGTCGCGCTGCACTGTTAGCGGTGCACGGACAACAGCATCAACACTGCAGCCTTAAACATATCAAAATATATACATATATAACCGGCAACGTTTCGGGCAATGGCCCTTATTCATAGCACATGTTGTTGTTGCTTTTGTTGACGAACTTGTTCATGAATTATTGACCTTCATGGTCTTGCCCCACCATATCTCGCTATTCTGTATCTTTCTATGTCGCCTTCTCGCCCTCTACCGTCTCAATCTTTGCTCTCTCTTTGTTCCTCCTCCTTGTACTCAATCCACGCTGTCGCTCTCACTCTTCTCCCACACCCTCTTCACTGGAACAAACTTTCCCCTCCACATTAAGCTGTCACCTTCGCTAAATTTTTAACAATAAGCTCACTTATTGTTACCCCTAGCTCACCCCACGACCCCCCTTAATCTCCCACTCATAATCACCGCCACCGTGACTGTTCCCTCTTCATATTCTCATTACACGGCTGCCACTTATTCACCTCGTTCATTTATTCCATTCCTCATCATTCACTATCATCAATTTTGTTTTCACCGAATTCACGCATCACAGATTCGCCCCCGTTGCTTCCTCTCGGCTATTTCATGCACCTTCTCTACACCATTACATTCACACACACGCTGTTGTTGTTGCACCGTTGTTAATTCCTTGTAAAACGCCGTGGTCAAGATACAATTAGATTCACAAACTTGGGGCTACCTCTCATGAACTTGCTGGGTATCAGCATAGAGGGCTTCTTGCACGGCCGTTCACAAGCCAGGTGGCCTGGGAACGGGTCGGGGTGCTTTGTAAAGGCACCTGGGGGTGCCTTTCCACACCTTGAGCTCACCGCTTCCAACAGCAGTGCCTGCCCTAGGCACTCAGCACTCCGCAGCTTGTCCCACCCACCGTCGTGTCCCTCTCTGACGGGCGGTTTCAACTCGTCCGGCCAACTTGTTGCATGGTGCCCTTTGAACTGCTTAATATTTATCTTGAGCCACGTTGCAGTCCTCTCTCTCTCTCTGACCAACTTCTACGATTCTCATTGTGGCTGATTCCCATTGTGGCTAATTCACGTTGTGGCTGATTCCCATTGGCATTTAAAATAACTTTCGGAGAAGGCGATTGTCCTGCACACAACCTTTTTGGCGATGGTTATAGCAACAACGCACACAGCAATAACAACACACAAAGCAACAACCACGCACACAGCAATAACAACAACACACAAAGCAACAACAAACACACTTGAGAGCGTGATCGCGACTCTAAGGAACTTCTTACCCATTGTTAATGTCGGCGTCTTTATATCCACTTCTGAATAACGAGCCGTGCATTTGGGCAAGTTTGTTTCTTACGCTGATTTCGGCGTGACCCCTGAACGCGGCGTAGGGTGTGGGGAATTCGGTACTCAAGGTGTGCGCTGTCCGTTCGTGTGCCGACAGACTACAGCGCGTTCAAGGTGGCTTCCCGAGAGCAGATGGAGGTCCAGAAGGTACCGAGCTGCGTCGAGAGTGGCCACTGGCGGCGCGGGTTCCCCGAGTTGCCCGTTCGTCAAACTTCACAATCGGGGTCTGGCTGTTTTTCCCCTCTCTCTTGCTTCTGGGAACTCGCCTGTGATTGTCCACTCGAGAGACTGCTGCTCCACCACTGTAGACATGCGGAAGGTTGGCGGAAATTTCACGGGCTCACTGGAGACACGGACACACTGGAGACACGGACATACTGGAGGCAGGGGCACACTGGAGGCAGAGACACACTGGAGGCAGGGGCTCACTGGAGGCAGGAGCTCACTGGAGACACGGACACACTGGAGACACGGACACACTGGAGACACGGACACACTGGAGGCAGAGACACACTGGAGGCAGGGGCTCACTGGAGGCAGGGGCACACTGGAGGCAGGGGCACACTGGAGGCAGGGGCTCACTGGAGGCAGGGGCTCACTGGAGGCACGGACACACTGGAGGCAGGGGCACACTGAAGGCAGGGGCTCACTGGAGGCAGGGGCACACTGGAGGCAGGGGCACACTGGAGGCACGGGCACACTGGAGGCAGGAGCTCACTGGAGGCAGGGACACACTGGAGGCAGGGGCACACTGGAGGCAGGGGCTCACTGGAGGCAGGGGCTCACTGGAGGCAGGGACACACTGGAGGGAGAGACACACTGGAGGCAGGGGCTCACTGGAGGCAGGGACACACTGGAGACACGGACACACTGGAGGCACGGGCACACTGGAGGCAGGGGCTCACTGGAGGCAGGGACACACTGGAGGCAGGGGCTCACTGGAGGCAGAGACACACTGGAGGCAGGGGCTCACTGGAGGCAGAGACACACTGGAGGCAGGGGCTCACTGGAGGCAGGGACACACTGGAGGCAGGGGCTCACTGGAGGCAGGGACACACTGGAGGCAGGCGCTCACTGGAGGCAGGGGCTCACTGGAGGCAGGGGCACACTGGAGGCATGGGCACATTGGAGGCAGGGGCTCACTGGAGGCAGGGACACACTGGAGGCAGGGGCTCACTGGAGGCAGAGACACACTGGAGGCAGGGGCTCACTGGAGGCAGAGACACACTGGAGGCAGGGGCTCATTGGAGGCAGAGACACACTGGAGACACGGACACACTGGAGGCAGGGGCTCACTGGAGGCAGGGGCACATTGGAGGCACGGTCACACCGGAGGCACGGGCACACCGCAGCGGCTTGTGAGGGCTACACGGGGTGTTTGTGAGCTCCAGTCGCAAGCTGCATTCCAACACAAATTGGTACAGTGGATGCCGCAGGCGTGATTGTCCCAGAGCCGAGTCTGTGACAGCAGCAGCAAGCGGCTTTTTGGCGTCGCTCAGCGATTCAGGAGGCTGCTGTTGCTCGGACAGGGGCCGGCGACCTTGAAAAGAAGAACGAGAGACATTTTTTTTGTCTTTTACCAAAATAGTTGGAGAGTCGCATCACGCGCAGAGCCACTTGTACACAAACACGGACAAGCAGCGGGCAAGGCCGTAGCCATGGAGTCAACATTGGGGGGGACCAAATCTTCCAGGGTGTCTGGGGGTCCCAACCCAGAAAAAATATATATTTGAAAACTAATTTCCTGCCTAAAATATAAAAAAAAATCACTAACACGTGGGATGTGTCCCCCCCCAATATATAAAATAATTACGGACTTGGCAGTGGGTATATAGCAGATGACAACAAGACACATTCTGACTTAATCAACAAAATAGATGATGGAATGAACTGCGTCTATTTAAAGTTTCACTGTTCCCCCTTAGTTATTCTTTGAGACTACGGTAGTTTGACTGTTGTACATATTGTTTATTGTTGCCACCAAGACATTCCATAGTGACCCCATTCCCTGCCATTAACCCGGAAAGGTGGCAGACAAAGAGCCGCAAGGGGGGGGGGGGCAGACAAAGAGCTGCAGGGGGGGCAGCCAAAGAGCTGCAGGGGGGGGGGGCAGCCAAAGAGCTGCAAGGGGGGGGGCAGCCAAAGAGCTGCAAGGGGGGGGCAGCCAAAGAGCTACAAAGGGGGGGGCAGCCAAAGAGCCGCAAGGGGGGCAGCCAATGAGCTGCGGGGGGGGGGGGGCAGTCAATGAGCTGCAGGGGGGGCAGCCAAAGAGCTACAAGGGGGGGGCAGCCAAAGAGCTGCAAGGGGGGCAGCCAATGAGCTGCAGGGGGGGGCAGCCAAAGAGCTGTAGGGGGGGGGGCAGCCAAAGAGCCGCAAGTGGGGCAGTCGAGGAGCCGCAAGGGGGCAGTCGAGGAGCCGCAAGGGGGGGGGGGGGCAGCTAAAGAGCCGCAAGGGGGCAGTCGAGGAGCCGTATTCCGGCTCTGGAACTGCAGGTTGTGCCAAGCTGTGGGTAACGGGCCCAAGCCGCTGTTGCGTTACCCATGCATGCTGTTAATGCTCACAACGCCAGCCACGTGCACTTCCGCTACTACTTCTTCTATGTCTATTTTTCACAGTACAACATGTACGTGACGCTTCTATGTCGTGCTTACAGAAACAGGCGTCGGCGTTATACCAAGTGGTGAAAACTGAAGTTGAGTTTTTGAAGGTGCGTCGTTGGGTGCCAAGCGTGCGTCGAGTCCAGTATCCCCCCGCCACGCCCCTTCGGTATTTCGGTATTTGAAGAGACCGCATCGTAGTCTGCATGACGCTTCATGACTCACGCTGATGTCTCCTTGCTCCAGGTGAGTAAGCCTGGATCTGCGATTACAATTCACGTGACCCACAAAGATAGTTTCGCAGGATCTGCAGTGATCCATCTAAACCAGTGGCTCTTTACCTGAGGGTGTGAGATGCCCTTTCTGGGAGTGAGAGACACTGACCAGATGTGTTAGAAAGTAAATAGTTGAAAATACAAATTAAGCACGGGCACGTAAGTACAACTACTTTGTTTCATTAAACTTTTGTATTAACATTGCAAAAATGTGTTTACAATTGAGACCCAAAGGGGTGCAAGGCTACAGTAAAGGTTAAGAACCACGAATTTAAACTAAACGATTTAAATTTCGATTTAAAGCTTTCGTGACTGCAATGATTCATCTTCTTTGGTTCTTTCGGTAAAGTCACGTAGAATGAGAATAAAATAATAAATTGATAAAATAAAGTAACACAATAATATTCTCACGACGTTTCGGCCACAACACAAGCGGCCTTCATCAGGTGAAGGGACGAGACTGTCTGGTAGGACAGCGCTGGAGTGAAAAAAGCCACGTTCAGATCACGACATTTAAGCTGTCAGAAGAAACAAAGCGCCTTGACAAAGGAATTAGCATAGAATTTAGCATTGAAATGGCCGAGTGATTAGCTTGTGACTGGTCACAGAACTGGCTATGTTAAAGTTAAAGCATACACATCCGCAGAGGCACCCCTTTTCCAGGTAAGGCCCACTTTTTTGCTTCGAAGCGACCTGGCCACAAATGATAGCTCAATGAAGTGGCTCATCATCGTCGTGTGGAGATGTTTTGCAGCCAACATACTGCAGTGACCGTCTTTATTCGACAGCTATCCGAAGGCCGCTGTGAGAATGACCGAAAGTTCGCGTGAAGTCGTGGAGATTGCAGATTCCTCTGGCATGACCAGTCAATCCACGATGGAATTAATTTACATGTATATCATTATTAACATTGATACGAGATTAACCATCCCGGATTTCTCAACTATTTTTTACACTTTACCAGATAAGGCCCACTGAGTTACACAGCTCTTATTTAAGAAGCGACCTGACCACAAATGATAGCATAACAAAGTGGGCTATCAAGGGGAAATTTATAGCTGGCAAATATTCTAAATGCGTGATGTATATTCTAAATGTGGAGGGAATAACCGGAAAACCCAGGGAAAAATCCACGGGACCACGAGGAGACGGAGAGATGCAAACTCCAAATATACAGGCGTCATCAGGGTCGGGGTCGAACCCACGACCTCCTGCATACCAAGCGAGGGAGTTAACATCTCTTTGCCACCCATCTGCGCTTACGCGTCTCATCTTGGAAAGCAAATAAGAACTGAGCCCTGGATCGCTGCTTGGATGAGCGACCACCACACATCATAAAAAACGCTGCCTGAGGCCGCTGCCTGAGGCCGCGGCTGCTTGCGAAGCTTCGTGGTGGGCACCAGGGGACAGTGCAGCTCAATACGTTGTACTGCACTGCGTTGTACTGCACTGCGTTGTACTGCAATGCGTTGTTCTGCATTACAGAGGTGCAACTATGGGGTGGGGTTGCGGTAATTGGCAGCGTTATGCGACGCATAGGGTCCCAGTCAGCCGCGATGGGGCACCGAATCAACATAAACACAAGTAACATGTTAACAGTTGTTTTTATTGTTTTGTTCATTAAAATTAGCTGCGGTCTACCATGGACCAAGCCCCGATTAAGGCATCTGGATATTGTATCAAAGTTGCGCGATCAGCGATCACCCCCTTTGTGGGAATCCTAGAGCAATGGGGCCGGCATAAAAGCAAGATGCACGATTACTTAATTGTGAGTGTTGTACCTTTAGATCTTTATATTATTAATCACTGTCACCATGAGACTGTCTTTCTTTAATCCCAATACACGCTGTAACTAAAACAACATATACAGCATAATTATAGCCTACATATTATTGTATACGGGGTGAAAATCATCCGCAGCTATTTCAGTAAAAGTGAGTCGGGTGAAAGGAGGGCGGGCACAGTCGGGTCTTGCAGAGCCCCGTGCAATTGAAATCGGTCTCTGCGCCCCTGCTACAGGGCCGGATGAAGGTTCTTGTCGGTCTTAGGCACTTAAGTTTCGTAGGCCTTAAGTGATAACTCTCTCCAATTGGTACTGCTGCTGCTGCCCGTGTTATTACTACCCACCTTTGTCACTCGCTAAAGCTGATCCAAAACTCCGATCAACCACAGGACAACAACGCTACGTTGTCTTCCCTTGCACTACTCTCTATTGAGAATGAGATTGTGCGAAGGACACCATTTGGAGATGTTGCTAATTTAGCAATGGAAAAAAACTTCGAAAAGTTAATCTCCGGTGTTAATGTCTTCTACCTCATGAGAAAAAAACCGATTGACACTGACACGACTCTGCCTCTTTGTATCTACACTGTGCCTATTCTTGCTATATAAATATATTTATTCAAGAAGATATCTTGGTAAACATGTTTTTATAATCCATGTAAAATAACATGGTCAACATTTATTTTCGTAGGCCCTTTAGCTTTCGTAGGCACTAGGCACAGTGCCTACTGTGGCCTATTGGATAATACGGCCCTGCTCTGCTGGACTCGACTGCCTATGCTACCCGTTATCACCAACAACGTGCGAGCGGGATGGTGAGGATAGTTTTGTGAATTAACTCCCATGGCCTCACATGGCATGGGGAGGCCTTTGTCCAGCAGTGGATTTTCATGTTGACCAAACATCCCGATATAGGACCACATAGCTTGAGCAAATGTTGGTAGTGCCGGTTCTATGGCGGCAGCCCTGCGCTGAATCTATCTCTCCCGAAAGGGGTTAAAGGAAAACGGAACAATTCTCAAGTTATGATAGTCTCTCATCTAATCATTTAAGTGGCGCTCAAATGCCTGAGCAGCTCAAAAAGCCTCACCATCTCAAACATTCGAACGGCACCTCCAGTTGGCAGCTGTCCCTGTGTGGCACGCAGTGACTCGGCACTCAGCCTTTAAGCGGCCACCGGTCTGCCATCAGGGGGCGATGATTGCCGCTGCTGTTGTGCTTAATCCCAATTGAGTAATTTGATGGTATTTTTTTCCGAATTTGGCAATTTTGCACCCAAATGACACGAGGGGATCATTAGCGGCCACTGTGAATGCAGATGATGTGTGTAGTATGTTATGGTTGACACACCCGCGGTATTAACCAGGTCTGCCGGAATTAGAACCGCGAACCCCTGCAACAACCAGCAGACGCGCTGCTGCTTCTGGGCCATGTGTAGTGGGATGAACGGGGGTTGCAGTGGTGATGGTGTGTTTGGAGTGCGGTAGTCGTGGTGGCGTCCCCGGGAGAGTGCAGCGGTGGTGTGCCCGTGGGATGCAGTCGCAGGGTGGGGAGATGGAGCGGGAGATGTCGGAGCGGAGCGGCCGCTGGGAGCGTGACGGAGTGGAGAGAGCGCGCGAGCTGCGTTCGCTGCGGCAGCAGCTGGAGGAGGCGGAGAGGGAACGCGACACGGAAGTGACGAGCCTGCAGGGTGAGCCCTCCACCACCCCACCGCCCCATGCGCCACCACGACCGTACGTTGCTGCACTGGCTGCTCGTAGGGACGTTCATTCTGAGCTCTTTGCTGTTGTGGGCCGGGCAGCTCGCACTTGTGAGGTTGTCAGTTCAAATCCTGGCCGGGCGTTGTCTCGGCAATTCATCCCTCCCTCCGGGGTCGATACAATGAGTACCGCTTCGTGGGGAAGTTAACAGTGGTTACCCTACGGAGCGATCTGCTCCTGCCTATAGGAATGTGGAATTTCCACCACCAGCTCAGGATGGCTGTAAGTGGATGAGCGTCGATGCCACGTTGGTTCATTTCAGCAGCAAGAAATCGCCCTGACTTTAGTTTGAAGAGAGGTAGGAGAGTGCGTGGAGGAACTGAGAGGGGAGAGGTAACAGAGTGTGTGGAGGTGAGGGGAGAGGTAGGAGAGTGTGTGGAGGTGAGAGGGGAGAGGTAGGAGAGTGTGTGGAGGTGAGAGGGGAGAGGTAGGAGAGTGCGTGGAGGTGAGAGGTAGGAGAGTGCATGGAGGTGAGAGGGGAGAGGTAGGAGAGTGTGTGGAGGTGAGAGGGGAGAGGTAGGAGAGTGCGTGGAGGTGAGAGGTAGGAGAGTGCATGGAGGTGAGAGGGGAGAGGTAGGAGAGTGTGTGGAGGTGAGAGGGGAGGGGTAGGAGAGTGCGTGGAGGTGAGAGGTAGGAGAGTGCGTGGAGGTGAGAGGGGAGACGTAGGAGAGTGAGTGGAGGTGAGAGGGGAGAGGTAGGAGAGTGCGTGGAGGAGGTGAGAGGGGGGAGGTAGGAGAGTGTGTGGAGGTGAGAGGGGAGAGGTAGGAGAGTGCGTGGAGGTGAGAGGTAGGAGAGTGCGTGGAGGTGAGAGGGGAGACGTAGGAGAGTGCGTGGAGGTGAGAGGGGAGAGGTAGGAGAGTGCGTGGAGGTGAGAGGGGAGAGGTAGCAGAGTGAGTGGAGGTGAGAGGGGAGACGTAGGAGAGTGTGTGGAGGAGCTGAAAGGGGAGAGGTATAGTCCATGGGCCCAGACCAATAAAATAACTTATTGGTACCAACTGAGGTGGCAAAGTCTAGTAATGATTTTTGTAATCCTCCACGTGTGTGGGACACATTCTCATATGACCTTTGCGGAGTGGCAGCTTAGTTTGAGTTACTTTGACTTTTATACCCATACCCTATGACAGGTGTCTGGAACGATGAAATGGGCATTATTACTGAAAAACTACCTAGACCAAAGTCAGTTGGGTCACAAACTGGTCTTTATTGGTTTAAATCCACAATGAAAACACATAATAATAAGGAATAGCATAGTGAGGTAAGGAACTACTTGAATACTATAAACATTGACATTCGCATATACTTAGTCAATGATACGTGTAATCCTATATATCGTTAGTGAAGAAGGTTACATTATTGTTTTATAGCTCTGTGTACTTAGATTGTGTTAACAATTGTAACCAAGTCCAGATTCACCACACTGTGCATCAATGTATACTACTACTACCACAGTAATACCATCAGAATCACCACCCTGTGTCACTCACCAAACTGCTCGTCTATCTCGTCATCTGACTCCCCGAGCTCAAAGTCAGGTTCTGGATCATCCTGCCAGTTTTGGTTACTGCAGGTCTGTAACTTGCACATGTCTGTGCATGTCAGTCCATTTGACAGGCACGTGCAGCTTGGAATGTTGCATGAACACACACACTTGCAGTTCCCAGACCACATCTGTTGCAGGTAGGGAGTGCATCCAGTAAATGGCCAGCTTGCCATCATCGTCTGTCCATCCATACTCAGTCGGGCTTGGCACCACAGGGTTAGCCTGCAGACAGCACTTCCAGATTGCTGCCTGATAGTTGGCTCGTTGAACATGCATGAAGAAACAGTCTCTACATGGTGGCAGCTGGCTGGACTCGACTTCTCCCCTTTTGGTGCAGAAGAGCTGGTAGCGCAGTTCGTTCACCTCACCAGTGCTGATATTAGCAACATACATGCGACAGGTGAACTGCTCAATTTTCTGGAACAGCTCATCACTCACATTCCATGACTGTCCCAGTCGATTAAAAGTATCTTGGCAGGAAGTGTCCTTTCTCACCATCTTCAGGGCATTCAGCTTCCCTCGACCGGGGAATGCACTGACAGTGTCGCAGCCTGTGAAGGCGTGTAAGCCAATTAGGCTGTCACAGATGCTGTCTCCAAGTGACCTTGCAAGTTTGCCGATATCGACAAACCATGTGCTGTTCTGTGTCCCACACTTCTGGTAGATAGGGCAGGTTATGTCCTTCTGGAAGCCAAGACAAAGCACCATGATATCAGTGTCTTCAGCTGTGATAACTGCATTTGAGCTCACATTTGCTGCAGGCATTGCATGCAGGAGCAGACGGATGTCTGCTTCTTCATGCGTGGAGTGCAGTTCTGCTACTTCCTCACACTCATGTTCTGTCAACTTGTAGCAGGTTTCCTCAAGGTCATGTACAACACCTTGCCATGCAGCATCTCTCTCTATCGTGGGAGTTTCCACTCTTCCACCAGAAACTTGACTCTTGATGTTCTCTCTCAATTTGATGACTGCTTTGGCTATAACATCTTGAGCACCGACACTCGTCAGGGTCTGCAGCTCCCTTTTGAGGGACTGATTTTCTTTGGCAAGTTCCCTCGTGGACAGGTTATCTGGATAGAGGAGGAGTTTTCTTTTACCATCAGAGAAGATGTGCAAGGCCCCAGCAATGCCACTCTCCAGCTTTCGCCTTATGTGCTTCTTGGTTGATTCCTTGACTTGGACAATGCCTAGGGAGTTCATTGAAGCAACCAGTCTAGACATGAGATCAGTCATTGTCATCACTTTAGGATTGCCAAAAAGCTCCATCCTGATGTAGTGTCTTGTAAAATCACTCAGTCGGACACGTTGTTACAGGTTACCTGCTTACACTTTATTACTCTATTCTTGCGCCAGTTGTAGGTACTCCTGTCTCTGTCTATACGGTCACTTTTGTTAACAAACTTCACTATCTACTTTACACCTCGCTAACCTGCCTGTGGCAGCTCTTCCTCTCTGCAGCTGCGCACTCACAGCTCTGCACACGGCAGTTCCTGCTCTCCGTAGCTCCGCACTCGAGGTTCCGCACACGGCAGCTCCCGCTCTCGGTAGCTCCGCACTCGAGGCTCCGCAATCAGCAGCGCTCACACATAGGCTTGCATACAGCTTCGCTCACATAGGCTTGCACACAGCTTCGCTCACACAAGGGCTTGCACACAGCAGTGCTCACACAGAGCTTGCACACAGCAGTGCTCACACAGAGGCTTGCACACAGCAGTGCTCACACAGAGCTTGCACACAGCAGTGCTCACACAGAGGCTTGCACACAGCAGTGCTCACACAGAGCTTGCACACAGCTTCGCTCACATAGGGGCTTGGCCACAGCTTCACTCACACAGGGGCTTGGCCACAGCTTCGCTCACACAGGGGCTTGCACACAGCAGTACTTACACAGAGGCTTGCACACAGCAGTGCTCACACAGAGGCTTGCACACAGCTGCACTCACACAGAGCTTGCACACAGCAGTGCTCACACAGAGGCTTGCACACAGCAGTGCTCACACAGGGGCTTGCACACAGCAGTGCTCACACAGAGCTTGCACACAGCTTCACTCACATAGGGGCTTGGCCACAGCTTCACTCACACAGGGGCTTGGCCACAGCTTCGCTCACACAGGGGCTTGCACACAGCAGTACTTACACAGAGGCTTGCACACAGCAGTGCTCACACAGAGGCTTGCACACAGCTGCACTCACACAGAGCTTGCACACAGCAGTCTCACACAGAGCTTGCACACAGCAGTGCTCACACAGAGCTTGCACACAGCTTCGCTCACACAGAGGCTCGCACACAGCTTCGCTCACACAGGGGCTTGCACACAGCTTCGCTCACACAGAGGCTCGCACACAGCTTCGCTCACACAGGGGCTTGGCCACAGCTTCCCCCACTCTGCGCCGCTGCCCTCGCCTACGTTCCCTCAGACCCACTCACTCGTCCGATCCGGGCGGGGCGATCAACCATCACCCGCCCGGCGATTCGTGAGGGTTGAGGTCCGTCCCTGGCTTGAGCGGCAGCGGCGAGATGTCTTCACCTTGGTCCCAGCAACCCGAATTCTCGCCTCCTTATATCCTCCTCCCAATTATTCAGCTCCTGCCTTGTGTCTCTTTAGGGCCAGACAGGCTGGTGCCTGTCAGGCCATCAATCGCCCCTTATCGCACGTCTCTCTGGCAACACCTCCGGTGTCAGCGTGCGACCCCGGGCCGACCCCATCTGCAGCCGTTTCTCCCCTTAATGAGGTGGAGGTTTGCTCGTGCAACCTCACGTTGCACACGTGCACCTGCCTGCCCTCGGTTGCCCTCGGCCAACAGTGCACACCGCGTATTTTACCACACTACACTGATGAACAGCTTATTTTATGACTGATTCACAGCAGCTTCGTACTGGGCTGCAGCATCATTATACTCATTGCTGGCAACCTCTTTGGAAACCTCCCCTTTGGTGTACAGTCTATAGCATGACCTGTGGTAGTGCCCTTTAGCTGCTACAAGGTCTCAACTCACAATGGCAAGGATTCTGCTGTACGTTTTATTTGTGGCTACACTCCTGATCTTTGCATCAGCTCGCAGTTCTTGACACTGTACCAGTACTTCTCTCCTATTCTTTCCCTTGGCATATTTGTTGTTTTTCTGACAAAATATGCACTCTGCGTCATAAGTACTAGCCGTACTTGGGGCATGTCGAGCTGTTCGCTGAGATTCTTTCTCTTCAGCAGAGCCACTGGCACTTTGCTTTTCTTTTGCAAGGATGCCATCAATAACTTTCTTAATAGTGAAGATACTGCGACACTTTCTGTGGTAGTAGATTTCTGGAATCTGTCCCTCCGGAATGTATTTTGCCATTTCCAAAACTGGTGCATGATTTTGTATCTTGAGCTGCCCTGAGCAGAGTTCTCC